GAGGGGCTGGTGGGGTGAGACTCAGATACCAAAAAGTGAGGATCAGCAACTCGGTTTGCTCGAGTCCTTAGCCTACTTTTGTCGAGTTCGAGGTTTTCTACCTTGATTATGTTTGCTGTTGCGGATCAAACGCTGCGGATCAAAGGGTCGACTGAAGAGAGCGCTGTAGACAATTGCAACATCAACAGCTAGAGTGGATTGAATCATATTGAATCTCTCCTCAGAGGGCTATGTGCTTGAAGTAGGGTGGAAAGGTTGCATGTGGTAGGGACCTAAGAGCAGATGGCCTCCAACCTACTAGCCACTTCGGAAAAAGATAGGATTGCCACAAAGTGATTTCTCTTGACTGGTGGGGTTTGACACACACACACACTTGCAAAGAAACATTCCAAAAAGATTCCAAATACTCCAAATCCATGCCAACGTTTGGCATTCATCTGAAGCCCTGGTGGCCGTGCATCTAGTCATGTTCTTTTGCTTTTCCTATCAAAAAGATCAATCCAGTTATATCCAGCTCACGTGTGTGCTTCTTCCCAGATGCACATGCACATGTCAGGCATCCACAGGCAGTCCGTCTCCCGAATGCCGTCGGCCCAAGGGCCTCCTGCCCCGACATCTTCGCGGAGTTCGGCAAAAGCCTGCCGGAGAGATCGTCGCGGATCGTCGACATGTCGCATGTAGTGAGGCATGTAGCAAGGCATGGGCTTCACTACAGTTCTGGCAACCCGCCAAGCAATCTGCCGAGTAATATTATCATAATATATCATAATATAACACCTAAGACACCCCGTATGTAAAATTGTTGTCGTTTTGTGAAACTCAACTAATTTCTGTTGCTTGATGTAGTTTTAGTCGTTTAGATGTTTTGTTCGAAACAACCAAACAAAAACACATACAAGGGAAGATGTAGGTATACATCCCATGGGTTTGCACTGGGATGTCCCAAATGGATTCCAAGGGTCGGTCGAACAGTGCTTCGCGGTGGAACGTCGGAACGTCGGATGACCCAGCATCCTCCGGACTGCAACAGGTCTCCTTTAGAGGGTTCTTGGGCCCCAACAGGTCTCAATTGGTGACCTGGCAGTGAGGATGCTGGTATATAGTTCTATATATATGCCTCAGACAAATCTCTCTGGTTCGATCGGGGTCGATCTCGACCCACGAGTTTGATGGGTTGTGGGTCAGGTCGCTGGCACTTCTCAGAGTGACTGAACTAACCCCTGGTGGATCATGTCCGAGTCATGAACACCACTACCCCAGCTAACTGGATGATCACAGTATACCTCCGGTGGGGTCCAAATCGCTCAGTTTTAAGTCACAGATGGCCGCAGAAAGCCGCGGCTTCCGCGGCTGCGCGGGTGGGTGTTCCCCGCTTGAGGAGGAGCAGCGGAAGCGCAACGAGCTCCACTTCTTGGGACCCCACCGACCGATGCCCTTCACGACGAAAGGCCGCAACCGGAGCCGTGGCAAGAACCTGCGCCTTGCGCCGGGTGGTCGATGGAAGCAAAGCTGTGGTCAAATATTTGGGTGCAAGAACAGATCCCGCATAGCAATCTCGAAGTGACTTGCTCCTTGGGCTGAACTGAGGAGCGAAGGCTATAACTTTTACCAGTCTGAGCAGGGGAGCAAGGCTCTCCGAGTTTTCTGGATGTGACAAGCCGCGAGTTGTGTACGATGTGTCCGGAGTCTCCAGTAACTGGGCATCCTCAACATGCAGCGCTGTACTTGTGGCGTTTCAGAGACTCTATGACTCTATTAATCTAATCTCTCTCTATATAATATATATATATATTATATTATGACTATTTAACTCTATATGGTGAACAAGTGTTCGTGAAGGTTTCAGAATATGGTGGAACCATTTTGAACACGTCAAAAAGGATGGGAATACCATTGTTGCTTGGCCGTCGATTTGGATGGATTCGATTCCCACCGAAAAACCCGCCCTGTGGGATCGGAATTATCAACCACCCGGGGTATATGGAATCAGACACTTACATAAGCTCAAAAGTACTCTCCCTGGAACTAACATGGAAGTGGAAAAACTACAGGATTTCATGGTCTTCCAAGAGGCCATTGTCCGTCCACAACCATGTGAGTTCCGAGTGTAAATCTGGATCTGGGACATGGCAGTCATTCGTCTTTCAGCCGACTCGTGATTTCCGATGCTCCACCGATTTATAGCTTGACCCCTTGGACCTCACCCCTTAAGGTCTGTACACGAACACATCACGAAGTGGTTTTCCCCTCCGTTAAGGAAAGGACAAGTCGTCTTAGTCGACCATGCCATCCACTTCCATGTGATGTGTTCGTCAGAGTGTTACCAGTCCTATGGAGCACCGGGATTTGGGTCGCAGGTCTTGCTGGACTTCTTCGCGAAGTACTGCCCTTGAGTCGGCCTTCGCATCAGGGCGGGGATCCAGGGATCGGTCGTTCTCATCAGATGTCGGACGTCAACCTGGGGCGAAAGACCGAAACTCCCCAACGTCAACCTGAGGCGATTTTCGGCAGTGAACTCTTCCGGGTGTATCCTACAAGAAGAGATTCTGGCGGTCCCATGTGGAGGATTCTGGGCCTTTGACTGTGCAGAGTCGCAGGTTTTGTTGATCTATAATTTTACTTGGCCCAGGGTTGTCCTCATGTCCCACACCGTCAGCGTGCTGCCTTAACAAAAGAACCGCCGGGACGGCGCAGAAAAAAGGTCGGGCAAAAAACAGAGCTCTCAAAGCACCCGTGTGCACCAACCCGGTGTTTTACAGATTTGGGCTAGACCCGGATGTCAGGGTCTATGTTATCAGTCATTTGCTGTTCCCACTTTTTTCTCACGGGCCCAATTCTTGCCGCAACCCAGATCTTCGTGTGTTTGGCGTGTTCACTTTGCGTGTCGCCCAAGTCAGTGAGCCACTAGGGGGGAGAGAGATCTCTGACGCCCAGCGCTTCGAACGCCCCACGTTGCCCAGAGCATTTCGGTCAAAAAGTGTGTCTTTGCGAAGGGCGAATGGGGGGGCAGAGGGAAGCGGTTGAGTGCGGCAAAGGGCGGTGAACACTCATTCAACACTAGTGCAGCAGTGTAGGATGTTTAATGTTTCAAAAATCAACCAACCGTCTACATTAGGGCTGTTTACGGACTCCATTCGGAGTTGCTCAACCATGAATTGCGCATTTAAGCTGAACAGACAATGATGGCTGGTCAGCCTGATCAGGATCGGGAGGGGTGAATGAAACTGAAGACGCCTCTAGAGGCTGTTCATGCTTGCCCCCCAAGTCACTATGTGGATCGGAGCAGCATGACGCCCATAGTGTGGCAAGAAGATCTACATCTTTGACATCCAACCTGACAGGCAGCTCATGCTGGACTTTCTTGTTCAGTTCTTTCATAAAAAGAACCCTCCCTATGGATCCACATACCGAACCAGGTCGGTACTGTGAGGAAGGAGACTAGGCTATGTAGGCGCCAGGAGAGCCCAGTTCTACCGAACCTGAGAAGGTGGCAGTGGATCCATAGGGCCTCCATTCTCCAGTCGAAACAATTCAGACTTCGCCCTGGACACCTCCAAGTCCCCGACGAACGACGACGGACTCGTCCGGCTCAGGTGAAGTGTGCGCCTGGAAGTGAACAGCGGTTTTGGTCGATATGGATCCTCATTCTACTGAAAAGCGTGGGTCCAGAAGCTAGGGGTTGGAGGCCATCGCTATTGGGGGCCCGGAAGCTATACGACTAGTAACAATTCAAACATCTCAAACCACTCCACGAGGTCTTCAGGACCAGCCTTTCAGCATGTCCGGACCAGCCCAGGGCCACGGAACACCGGAACCAAAAGGACCGTTTCGCTCCGGACCGCCGAGCGGAGTTCGGCGAGGGCATCGCACTGAATCACTCTTTATAGGCTTGGGACCGTTTGGAGGTTAAATGAGGGTGTTCTTCTCATGAGTGGTTTGCATTCTAATAGGAAGAAGCTACCTCAGATACCTCATCCAACCAAGCGCCATGGTCCCTTTGTGATGGGGTGATAGCCATTGATGGCCTCTTATTTCCTTCGCACTGTTCCATCCATCAGTTCAGTCAGTGGAGACCGCGCCTCTTCAAAAAAAGATCCATCGCCCAACAAAAATCCCTCGCAGCCTTTGCAGCCTCTGCCAACGGCACCATCCGGCACCCGATTTTTTGCCGATGGATGCTTGGACTGAAGCGTTTGGGGGCGAGGGTTTGGACGACCAGCTTGGCCATTCAAAACTTGGAGATAGGTGGTCGAGGGCCTCGGAGTCACCGCTGGACCTCGAATGCCAA